TGCTTTTTTCCTCTTCCCAAATCTTTTACAATCCCTTCAGCATTTGGGAGGATCCAGGGAAATCGACTTTTTTTGATTTTTCCATTTTTCGGTAATATTTTAACGGGAATCAACGAAAAGGGTTATCAGTAATTTGAGGGAATTCATGGATTCCATTTGATTCTAGTAAAGATTCTAGCAATTCTAGCAGAGTTTCTAGCAAAGATTCAAGTAAAGATTCTAGCAAAGATTCTAGCAAAGCTTCTAGAGATTCTAGCAAAGATTCTAGTAAAGCTTCAAGCAAAGATTCTAGAAATTCTAGCAAAGATTCTAGTAAAGCTTCAAGCAAAGCTTCTAGCAAAGCTTCTAGAAAGATTCTAGCAAAGATTCTAGCAAAGATTCTAGCAAAGCTTCTAGCAAAGCTTCTAGCAAAGATTCTAGCAAAGATTCTAGCAAAGATTCTAGCAAAAAAGCAAACTTTATAACCTTAATGCTTAGCTTAGATTAATGCTTAGATTTACTTGTTTTAAAAAAAACCCTTTCAACTGTCCTTTAGTCTTTTAGACGTACTTTAGACTTCTTTAAACGCATCTTGTCTGGCACTCGATGCAGCTTTTAAAAAGCAATTGAATTTAAAAGCAAAAGCTTTAAAATCGAATTGCTGCAAGCAAAAGCTTTTAAATCCAAACCTCTTCAGCAATTCATTTCACTTAAAACAACAAAAAAACTTGAGCAGCAATTCCCTTAACCCATTCAATTGCTTCAAAAAAGAATCTCTTGTCTCCAATTTCTACCCATTTCTCCATTTCCTTATCAATTTTTTCCCCCAATCCCCTTTTCAGCTGTATGTTTATGGAGCCTAAATAAATTTTCTCGAATTGCTTCTCAAAAATTTGATGACTTTATGACTTTCCCTACTCATTTCCCTTTCGTAGCTACCGTTTTTGTCTTTTTTCTTTTGCCTATTTTGTCATATCAATCATTGTTTATCAAGTAGAAGAATTGCGATTGGGTAATTGATGAATAGAGCTTGTAAAAAAACGATGTAATATGATAGGAATTCTCTGGCTTAATGCTCGAGAATTTAAACGTTTTGAAAACGTTTCTCTTTATCTTTATTATAACAGAGGGATTTTCTTTTATTTTCTTTTATTTTCTTTGATTTTCTTTGATTTTCTTTTATTTTCTTTGATTTTCTTTTATTTTCTTCTATTTTCTTTCATTCTCAAGCTTTTATCTTTATCCAATTCTCTCTGATCAATTTAAAATTGAATTTCTAATTCTTTCATTTCATTCTATCCATTGAACCATCACTTCTTGTTAGCTGATTATCAAATCTAACCTTATATTGGGAATTGGGAATTGGGTATAGCTTGGATCGGCTTGAAAATTGAATTGTATAGCTTAGGCTTTGACTCGCCGTTGAACCTAGTGTTCTAGTACTAGTTACTAGTGTTTAACGGCGTTAAAAGTATAGGTTACAAGTACTAGTACAAGTACCGGTACTAGTCCTAGTCCTAGTCCTAGTCTAGTCCTAGTCCTAGTCCTAGTCCTAGTCCTAGTCCTAGTCCTAGCACTTTTAACCTATTTAGCGTAGTCCACTCTAATCATGACAGGATTTTAGACCTAAAACCGACTTTGACCTGGTCTTGCTTTGGCTTGGATTTAACCTGGTCTGCCAAAAAGATTCGGAACATATCTCTGCTTATTCTTGTCGAATCTCTATCAGAATCCTACTCATCTATCCATCAATAAGCTCAATTTCCTCATTTTTCTTTCATCCATTGATCAAGTGAAAGAAATCTCGTTTGAAAATCAGTTTCCATTGATGGATTGGCGGCGTTTGTGTTGAGTGAGAAAGCGAAAAAACGAGAGAAAATCCGAAAGTTTAGAGAAATTTGACTTTTTCAGGGTTTTTAAGATGATCTGCGAAAATTTTGAAAAGATAGATCGGTTATCGGAAAGGAGGAAAGGAGAGAGAAAGATGGAGAGGGAAAGAACAAGAGAGAAAGAAGATGGGAAGAAGGGAAGTAGGGAAGAAGGGAGGAACACTGTAGAAATAGGCATTGGATTTTCTATAAACGTGGAAACAGAGAGAAAGTAGAAAGTTGTTGTAGTTGGGGAAATTTTGAAGTACAGTAAAAGATCAAGGTAACTGTAGTAGTTGTTTTGAATTTTATAGCAATCTAAAGGCGATTTGGTAGTACAAGTACCGGTACAAGTACAAGTACTAGTACAAGTATCGGTACAAGTACTAGTACTAGTACAAGTACAAATACACATACTAGTACTAGTCCTAGTTCTAGTCCTAGCACTAGTACTAGTACTTGTATTTTTTGAGTCTGTTGAGTCTGATTTGACTATTTCTAAACAAGCTCTAAATTCTCTGAGTCGCTAGTGAAGGTGGTGCTATTTGTAGCTCCATTGTAGCTCCATTGTAGCTCCATTGTAGCTCCATTGTAGCTCTACTTCTCAATCGTTTAAATATTTGTGTTTGTTAGTCAAAGCTCTTAGCTTTTCTTTTATTATTGCCTTTATTATTGTCTTTATTAACCAAAATAGAATCTTTCTTTACATTTATCCAAAAATCTCTTTCTTCTATCAATATCAATCTCTCTTTTCCCCTAACTGACCTTTCCATTTGCCAGCAAATCTCTTCAATCATTCCCCCAAATCGTCTCATTCCTTTTCCAATCAAAAACTTTATCATCATCAGTTCATAGATTACGGTAGGAAATATTTGCTCTATATAGTGATAAAGGGATTTTTCTAAATCATCTTATGTCTAAATCCTGTCTAAATCCTGTCATTTCTAAATCATCTCATGTCTAAATCATTTTCAAATGTGATTTAATGTTATAATGAGATGTGTTGCAAGGGTTTTTTGGATCATACAACCCATTGACGGGTTCTCTTTGTCCCAAGAAAAGTCTCAAGAGAATCTAATTGGTTCTAGGTGCAGCTTTCACAATGAAAAGACAATGAAAAGACAATGAAAAGACTTTTTCAAAAGACAAAAGCCAAAAGAGAACCGTTTCCAGTTATAGTATAGTTACAATAGTAATCTACTACAATACTTAGCTTAATTGTAAGCTATAAGGCTAAAGCTGAAGCTATAAAGCTAAAGCTAAAGCTATAGAGCTAAAGCTATAAAGCTAAAGCTAAAGCGATAGAGCTAAAGCTATAGAGCTATAAGGCTATAAAGCTAAAGCTAAAGCTATAGAGCTAAAAGCAATAAAGCTACCCAGTTACCGTATCCTTAAACCTACAGCACTATAAATCAACAGTCAACAATCAACATCAACTTAAAATCAATATCAGCTTTATTTTCCTAAATCAACGAACTACCGTAGTCATTAGCTTTTCCTGTGGCTGGCGGTTGTTTAGATTTGTTGATGGATTCTCGTCTTAGCGTTTATCTTTAAGGCAGAGAACAGGAGAACGCTTTTTTTCGATAAAGGCCGTTCCTCAGAATGATCCATTGCAATTTGCACTGGAAATGATTGGATCAACTTTTTCTTGGAGCAAAGAAATTCGTTTTGTTGAAACAACACCTGACACTCGATACGCTAAACGCTGTCTTTCGATGGAAAAAGCTTTTGAAAGTCTGTAGATCAATGAAATTGACTTTTTAACTACTTAACTTTTAGTAGACACTAAGATTGACACTTTACCTTCGACTGATCTAGGTAGCGAAGTAGATTTGCTTATCTAGAGTGATTCTAGAGTGACTGACAAGAGAAATACTTCAGCTTGCCACCGCCAAACGCTCAAGAAGTTATAGTGAGCTGAAAGCTGATCAGAGCTGATCAAAATACCGCAAAAACTGCTCACACTCATCTTCAACATCTCGCTTAAAACGCTTTTCTCGCTCCTCGTCCGTGTCACCTTCTGGCCTAGTGGATAAGTCGTTTGGATACAAAACGAACGACCGGCTTTCCTTCTGGTTCGAGTCCTCCCATCGCAACTTTTCTTCCTTTTTTGATTTTAATGAAACCAACACAAATAGATTTTATTTCTTTTCATTTCGATAAATAAAGAAATGATAATCGAAAATAAGAAATCCAAGCCAGACCAGGGTCAAACCAATCCAGGATCAAGCTACCATACTCTTTCCTTACGCTAAAACAATTTGATCATGACTAGCTTTTCATCAAAAATCCCAATCTTTCTGTGCTCATCAAAATTCTTTTAAAGCAAGGAAATTATTTGTTTAAACAACACCTGACGCTTGATGGAAAAGTGGAAAAGTTTTTGCTCAATTTCATTCAATTTCGAGGATCGTTTTTGAAAGAGTGAAGACAATTGTTGAGAGTTGATTGGATGAAATGAAAAGGGGAAGAAGCAGAAGAAGAAGAAGAAGAAGAAGAGAAGAAGAAGAAGAGGAAGAGGAAGAAGAAGAAGAAGAAGAAGAAGAAGAGGAAGAAGAGAAGAAGAAGAAGAAGAAGAAGAAGAAGAGAAGAGGAAGAGGAAGAGGAAGAAGAAGAGGGAGAGGAAGAAGAAGAGGAAGAAAAGAAGAAGAAGAGAAGAGGAAGAGGAAGAAGAAGAGGAAGAAGAAGAAGAAGAGGAAGAAGAGGAAGAAGAAGAGGAAGAAGAGGAAGGAAGAAAGAAAGAAAGAAAGAAAGTAACAAGACAAGGAATTCAAATTTTCGTTTTTTGTTTTCAATGTTCTAAAACTGGGGTTAAGTTCGTCATTTTTCAAGAAAAAAATAGGAATCCAGTGCGCTAGAAAGGGTGAGTTTAAGCTTTTCGAGCAACAAAGTACACTAGAAAGCCGTTTTGCTGTACTAGAGACGTTTAAAAATATTTTTATGTTAAAATTTTATAAATTTAACCGATTCTTGATTACTTTTTTACTTTTCATTTATTTGTATTTGTCATTTTTTTCATTTTGACGTAGCTTTTTTATTTTCTATTGAATAATTTAACTAATAACCGCCTTCATTTCGTAAAACATTTAACTAATAAACTCTTGATTTACTTTGACTTCAGTTCCCCCATTCCTCTTATTCCACTTATGCATGGCGAGCAGCAAGACGCGTTTCTCAATGGAAAGCATTCTCGCCGATCAACCAACGCCCATCAACCAAGCACACTCACGGAAAAGGTTTCGATTTGAAAAATTAAGATAATAAGTAATGTTAAATCGAGTAACGATTGATAAATAACGATAAATCGTTAAATAACGACTGATTTAACAAGATTTAACGATTCTCAAGTCATCCGCATTCTTCATTGTTAAATCGAACGTTTTTATATAGTAAATAGCTATAAATGGACTGAAAATTGACATCGTTAAAGCGAGAGAATCGTTAAATCGAGGCTTGACTGAATAATAAAGTGCTTAATAAAGTAAAGAAATGAATGGAAAAGAATTTGGAATCAAGGAATTGAACGGACAAGAAGGTAGATGAACTATCAGCCTTCTTTCCTCAAGAAGAGGGAAGACAAGGAAGAAAGGAAGATAGGAAGAGGAGAAGAGAGGAAGGAAGGAAGGAAGAGAGGAAGGAAGGAAGAGAGGAGGAGAAGAGAGGAGGAGAAGAGAGGAGGAGAAGAGAGGAAGGAAGGAAGGAAGGAAGAGAGGGAAATGCTGTATAGATATATTAGTATATATAATTTCAGACTTCACAATGGCGATTCCTCGTCTCCTCCACCGAAACTCTTTCATCCGAGTGAGAATTTCCTCGAAGCGATGGCTAGGGTTTGTTTAAACAAATAGCTATCTATAAAAATATCTATAGAATATCATAGATTACTGTAGATATTGTAGATATTGTAGATATTGTAGATACTGTAGATTTTCTATTGAAAAATTCAGGTAGCTGACGCAGCTTTACTGTCAGAAGGAGGCCCGTCTTGGAGAGCGGCTTTGGATCCGAGTTTGATCCAAAAACGAATAGTTAAAGGTTGTTTTTTATTCAAAATATTGTTTTTTATGTTTTATATTTGAATTTCTGATATAATTCATTAATTTTAGAAAGCTTTTGCTCAAAAGAGACGCCAGAGAATCGATTTTTAAAGAGAAATTCAATAGAAAGTGATGAAGATCAGCCAACAACTTCTAAGGTGATTATTCTTAAATCAAAATTAAAAATTAGCCTTAAATATCCATTTAATATAATAATCTTTCTTTTAGATTAATCAAAAAAGCGAATTGATTGATGGAGAGCAGAAAGATGAGGAGAATCGAATGATTTTGAATGGATTTCTTAAAGAGCCATTGGGTGAGTGTTTCGCTTAAATTTCTTTAATATTTTACTTATTTCAAGAATTAGATGAATCCTCGAATTGTCTGGAGGAAGCTGGATCGATTGAGGATTGTCGGAGTGACTCGCCGGACGATGAGACTGAAGAAGAGAAAGAAGGAGACACGTCGAGGTGAGGGATCACATCATCGGCTAGCTGCCAGCATCGGCTAGCTGTCAGCATCGGCTAGCTGTCAGCATCGGCTAGCTGTCAGCATTGGCTGGCTGTCAGCATCCTATTTCAGCTTTCATCGGCTAATTCTGCTAGAGTACTGGCTTGTGTAGCTTTGGTTCTAGATCCTTAAAAGTCAGAAATTCTACAGTAGACCTGTCATGGCGTGGATTGGCCTGGTAAAGCTTGGCCAGAAATCCCAGAAACTCGAAACCAGCTGTGCTGGCCTTTAACGAGTCGATTCGGCATTATAATTACCATATAGTTAGCCAGTTAATAGGCTATATAATTTGAAATTCTATTTTTATGCTACAGTACCCGGAAGAAGCTCCTGTTACAGGAAAGATTGAGTCAAATTTAGCAAATCAAAAGGTCAAATCTGGTCAGACTTCTGGTCGACCTAGCCTGACCTAGCTCAAATCTGGTTGACCTCAGACCTAGCTTGACTGCCAGGCTTATATAAAATACCAGAACCTAACAGAAAATGGGCTTAGACCAGATCTAGTTTCTATTTAGTCTGACTTTGACTGACCTAGGCTAAGCTAAGCTAAGCCTAAGCTAAGCCTAAGCCTAAGCTAAGCTAAGCCTAAGCTAAGTCAAGCCTAAGACTAAGCCTAAGTTAAGCTAAGCCAAGCCTAAGCTAAGATAAGCCTAAGCTAGGCCAAGCTAAGCTAAGCCAAGCCTAAGCTAAGATAAGCCTAAGCTAGGCCAAGCTAAGCTAAGCCTAGGCAAAGCCAATCCAATTGCTCTTTGATTGAAGAACTTTGTTCTTAAAGGGTAATATTGTAGTTTTATTTGTTAACTTGTACTAGTCCTGTATTGCTGAATATTTGAATATTATTGCTAAACATTCTTCTATTTCAGTCCAAATAGCGGTAGCGCTATGTCGGCGCAACGCTCAAAATCCGGTGCAGCGAAACCAGCATACTCGTACATCGCATTGATAGCAATGGCCATCGTAAACAGTCCTGAAAAGAAGTTGACCCTATCACAGATCTGCGAGTTCATCTCCGAGAAGTTTCAATATTACAAGTGAGTCAATCGAAATCCTGTTATCTTTGTTTTGTTAGCTTAGGCTTAGCTTAGCTTTAGCTTAGCTTAGGCTTAGCTTAGGCTTAGCTTAGCTTAGGCTTAGGCTTAGCTTAGGCTTAGCTTAGCTTAGGCTTAGCTTAGGCTTAGCTTAGCTTTAGCTTAGCTTAGGCTTAGCTTAGGCTTAGCTTAGGCTTAGCTTAGCTTAGGCTTAGGCTTAGCTTAGCTTAGGCTTAGCTTAGCTTAGCTTAGCTTAGGCTTAGCTTAGCTTAGGCTTAGGCTTAGCTTAGCTTAGGCTTAGCTTAGCTTTAGCTTAGCTTAGCTTAGGCTTAGGCTTAGCTTAGCTTGGCCTAGCTTAGCTTAGCTTAGCTTATTGAAGAAGTCGATAATCTATTATAAACAATAAGCATATTTCCTAAATGTAGAAAACCAAAAAAGATCCAGAATTGAACCCTTGATCTCTTGACTAAGATTTAAAGCTCTTAACCAGCTCTTAACCAGTCAGCCAATCAGTCAAAACCTCAAAAAATCAATTCCTCAAGCTGTCTAGGATTTCATTGAGATAAACAAGTGTTTGTTTTGAGTTTTTGGAAAAGGTGAAAGTCGATCCTTTTTGTTAAAATGATCAGAGCTTTCTATTGGTGATTGTTGAAAAGATTTAGAAAAGAAAAGATTAGAATCTAGATAAGTTTTCAAGCTTCTGTTACAGGAATGTTACAGGAAAGTTACAGGAAAGCTAGAGCCAAATCTAGCGAGTTTTTTGTCCAGTGCACAAAGCGGTCTTGTACCTGAGTTGAGGATTTTACTTGAAAAGGATTTTACTTGAAAAAGATCAATTAAAATCATCAGACAATGGTCAGACTTCTGGTATTGTTCTGGTCAGACTTCTGCTATTTTTCTGGTCAGACTTGTGGTAAAGATTTCGATTAGAATGTAGAAATGAGATGAAAAGTTTTCAAAGTCGAAATCTATAAAGCTATAAAGCTAGTCTATAAAGCGAAAGCTAAAGGATTAATCTTCGAGTTCAAATCCTCGTTTTATCTTCTTTTCTTCTTTCAAATCAATCCTTCTTTCAAATCCTTTTCCTCAGCTCTTTACAACCAATACAGAGCCCGAAAATCTTCCCATTAATGATAAGCTTTCTAATGATAAGCTTTAAAAATAACATTTTCTTTTTCTTTCAAGGAAATTGTTTACATTTTGGAAGGACAGAGGAAAGGGAACCACATTTTTGATTTATTTTTAAGCCTAAACCCAAAGTGCAAAAGATACGGTAACTGACAAAACAAAATTCACTGAAAAGCTTTGACTCTTTCGCTTTTGCTTTTCGTCAAAAATCAAAAGCGTCAAAGCTTTTCAGTGTTCGGTTGTTTTCTCAGCTACGAGAGAAATTGTTGATTGTGATTGTTGTTCAGTGATTGTTATTTTCTCAGCTACCTAAGCCTAAGCCTAAGCCATCAGCTGATCACTTACAACAAATAACAACTTCATTTTAGAGACAAATACCCAGCTTGGCAAAACTCGATTCGACACAATTTATCCTTAAACGATTGCTTTGTGAAAGTGCCGAGAGAGCCTGGGAATCCGGGAAAAGGAAATTATTGGACATTGGATCCACGATCTGAAGATATGTTCGATAATGGAAGTTTCTTGAGAAGAAGAAAGAGGTTCGTGATCGAGATTCAATTTCAAAAACCAAACCAATACTATTATAATACTTAAGTAGTTATTAAGTAAACTTGAGTTATACAGGAATTAACTAGGTTTAGCATTAGTACTTAATTCAATCTTTTTGCCATGTTTGGGAAAAAGTTTGAGAAAAAGTCGAACCCGGAGGTCTCGGTCGGGACTCGAACCCGCCAGCCCTCGACCGACCCCCTGCTTTCTAGACAAACGCTCTACCACTGAGCTATAGCGACACACCCCTCCTCGCCGATAGAAGGGGTTTTATACCTTTCTCTTTCTTCTTGAGCTACTTTTTAAGTTGAATTTTGAAGATTTTGTACTTTGGAGTCTCGTTCTTGATTCTTGACGCTCGATTTGATCAGCCGAGCTTTCAAATTTAAACAAAACTCTCTGAGAACGTGTGAACAATGAAAATCCCAGCTTCAAGATTTTCTCACCTTCATTTTCAGATTCAAACGAACACCAGACCCACCCGAGATGCCGTTCCCGTTCCCGTTCTTGCCTCCATTCATGGCTCCTCGTCTTCCCCTCCCAATGGGCATGGTTCCAGCAGGCCATCCCCTTCCCCCATCCATTCCAGGCCTTCCACCCCTTCCACCACCTCTTTTACCAATTCCCTCGTTTTTCTTTCCCTCACTTCCACCTGGGATCGATCATCAGTCATTACTAGCTGCTGTTGCCGCATTACCGCCACAAACAACAAGTCCTAGCTCAGAGAAAAGTGCTTAGAAAGCTTAGGAAGCTTAGAAAGCTTAGGAAGCTTAGGAAGCTTAGAAAAGTTTATACACTACTCCAAAGCTGTTTTCTACAAGCTAGATGGATACCCTTAGCTAAATATCTTTAGCTAAATATCTTTATCTAAATATCTTTATCTAAATATCTTTATCTAAACATCCTTAACTAAATATCTTTATCTAAATCTCAATTCCCTAAAGCCTTCATCTACAGCATTTCTTTAACATATTTACTCTAATTTTTGTACATAGTAATATGCGAAATTTCCTTCATTTATTCATATTTCACTTGAGATTCATTTCCCGTATTTCTTTCTCAAAAAAACTCAGGAATTCTTTGTGAATGTCTTTATTCAAAAATTTCGTACCTCTTTGTGCCATCTTTTCAGGTTCTTTCAATATTATATTATATTCTATTATCTTTTTCCTTTTTTCCTTTTTCAACAAGTGCAATGATTCTTCTTTTTTTTCGTCTAAAACCCGATGTTTGACTTTTGGTTGTAACAAAATTTGTTGTCTCTAGTTTGTTAAAAAATTCGGCTGGAAAAGGAGTCTTGAGTCATTTCTAAGCTAAGCTAGAATCCAGTTTCAGTCAGCAATCAGTCCAAACGGCTGGGAAACCAGGCCGGGTTAGTCTTAGCCTTAACGTTTACAGACCTGACTTCTGGCATCGCTTTGAGCTGGTCCTTCTGACCTGAGAGACAGGCCTGGAAAAGACAGGGACATTTGTCCAGTCTGGGTCCAGGCTTGTCTCTCTGTCTGGATCGTTTGCTAGTGAGCTTGGCATGTCTGCTTAGCTTACAGGCTTGGCTTGGCTGGCTTGGCCTTATCTTGGGCTGGCTGCTAGCTTGGATTGGCCAGACAGAGACATGCCTGTCTGTCTGTCTGGTCCAGGCTTGTCTCTCTGTCTGGCCAATCCAAGCTAGCAGCCAGCCCAAGATAAGGCTAAGCCAAGCCAAGCCTGCAAGCTAAACAGACATGCCAAGCTCACTAACAAACGATCAGATTTCGCAAGCGATCAAATCGATCCAAATCAAAGTTTTATGACGGGCTCCCAAAAGGCTAGGTGGCGCAGTGGTAATGCTTCCGCGTGCCACTCTAGGGATCCTGGTTCGGTCCCCCTTGGATCAGTTTTTTTTCTATTTTAATCTTTTAAGCAGTAAAGTTGTATTTTCATTAGTTTTTGAGCATCTTTTAGCATCAATTGCATTCTTTTCGAAATCTGGTTGATCGTTTGGAGTTGCGAAAGCTGATCGTTCCCTAGTCAGAGCCAGGTTTAGCTAAAGGCAAGCTAGCAAGTCAATGGTCAAGATTACACAAGAGTTTCAGTCAATTTTGACATAAAAACTGGCTTCAATGATAGCTCTAACGTGACTGTCCCATAAAAGTCCCTCTTGGAACAGCCATGTATCCAGCATTCGATATTTAATCCTTTTTTCGATTCTATTCCTTGAATTTTGTTTTATTTCTTTGTAATTTGTTCATAAAAAAAATTTTTGCATGATCTTATATACCAAAATCGTTTTTTTGTTGATTTAATAAAAGTTTCATGTTCAAAATAAATGTATTTCAAAAAAAAAGAAAACTACCGTAATCAACCCATCAATCAGGTCAAATTTTGACTGAGTCTTGTGATTTCTCATCGAGTAATCAAAAGTTTTTGGGTTAATCAAATGAAAGCTGAAAGGATTACGATAGTTTTGAGTGGATTTTAGGAGCTGGTTTAGCTGGTTTAGTTGGTTTAGAGCTGGTTTAGTTGGTTTAGAGCTGGTTTAAAGCTGATTTAGAGCTGGTTTAGCTGGTTTATAGCTTGTTTAGAGCTGGTTTAGCTGGTTTATAGCTTGTTTAGGGCTGGTTTAGAGCCGGTTTCGAGCTGGTTTAGCTGGTTTAAAGCTGGCTTAGCTGGTTTAGCTGGTTTAGAGCTGGTTTGGAGCTGGTTTAGAGCTGGTTTAGCTGGTTTAAAGCTGGCTTAGAGCTTGTTTAGCTGGGTTAGCTGGTTTAGCTGGTTTAAAGCTGGCTTAGAGCTTGTTTAAAGCTGATTTAGAGCTGGTTTAGAGCTTACTTAAAAACTGTATAAAATGGTAAAGTTTATGATTTGCTTCTTTTTTTGCAAAGACAGTGTCAAGTGTGCCGTTTCTCACGGGGATTGTTCTCACAAAGCAAAGAATTTTTTCGCCTTTTCTTTCCGTTTTCTTTTCGATTTCTTTTCATCTTTACCGAAAGAATTTGATAAAGCTGATGGAAGAATGAAAGAAAATTAAAGAAAAGAAAAATAAATAAAAGAAAATCAAAGAAAATCAAAGAAAATCAAAGAAAATAAAAGAAAATCAAAAGAAAATAAAAGAAAAGCCAATTTTAAAAGAAACATAAGATCATAAACATACAGTGGCGGACATAAACTTATCACACCCCAAAATAATTTCTTATTTCCCCTCTAACTTTTTTTCTAAACAACCCTTTGAGCTAAAAGTTGGTTTAGACACGTAAAAACAAAGTTAGAGGAGAAATAAGAAATTATTTTGGGGTGTGATAAGTTTATGTCCGCCACTGTAGTTACAAAAATTCTTTAAGGCTTTGAAAAGAAATTCAATTCAATTTTACGTACTTTTTACTCAAAAATGTAAACCCACACTTTCTATTTTATTGAAGAAATAATCCATTATTTTCTGTTTCTATGTTTCTATGACAATTTGAGTCCACTAGATCAGATGTGTTTCTATTTTTTTGAAGGCTATCTCGTTAAAGAAAGTGATTTGCTGAGCTGAGAATGCTGAGAATGCTAAGAATTTCATGGAGAATTGAATGGCGCCATTTACAGAATGATTCAACACAATTTATTTTGTAAATGTCCTGTAAATATCCTGTGAATGGCTCAGTCATTGGATGTCCAAGTGACAGCCAAGTCATTCAATGTTCAAGTGACTTTTCTGGCTCAGTATTTCATCGAGAATTGAATAGCGCCATTTACAGAACGATTCGAGGAATTGTTGCTAAACAAAGTTGCTTTAAATCGTTCTGCAAATGAAATCATTCGATTCTTCATGAAATTCTGACCCTGAAAAGTCACTTGGACACTCAATAACTTTGCTATGAGCCTTACGAGATGAAAGCTCTCGTTTATCCTTTCAAAGTGTCATCCTTACAGTAAACGCACGTTTTCTAGCGCATTAAATAACCATTTACAATGAAACGAAAAGCTCTTTTCTATCCTTGAAAAAGTGTGATTCTAATAAAAGACTCGTAAAAGTGTAGTAGGTGTCAATTCTCGAATCGAATCGAAAGAAAGAGATCATCGGTAATCCTTTGATTTTCCGGAATTGATCGAGAGTAACAGGTGACAGCTTTCCACCAATTTGTCGCGGTCAGTTCAAAAGGGGGAAAGAAGAGAGGAGAAAGAGTGAGAAAGAGTGATAAAACAAGGTGTCTCCCAGCAATACAACCATCAAATCTCATTCGAAAGGGTCAATCGGTCAACTGAAGAATCAAAGTCTACAAGGGACTAAAGAAGAATGTTTAAAGAATTATTTTTTAATCAAAAGATGTTTTGAGTTGTATTTTTAAGGCTTTTAGAGCTTTCAGCTTTCTAAAGATGCTTTATGCTTTGTGCTTTATGATTTATGCTTTTAAAACATTTCCTTTAAGATAAAGTTTTCACTTGAGAAAGTACTTGTACTTGTACTTGTAGTACTTGTACTTAAAGAAAGAAAAAGTGCTTGTACTTAAAGAAAACATAAACATCCCCTTTCTAGCATACTCTGTTCATGTCGCCGTACGACTGTTCATCTGTACGACCGAGCCAAGTGAGTTTTAGCATCAGATTCATTTTATAGCATTTTAAGTTACTCTAAGTTGCTCTAAGTTACTCTAAGTTACTCTAAGCTGCTCTAGGTTACTCTAAGCTGCTCTAGGTTACTCTAAGCTGCTCTAGGTTACTCTAAGCTGCTCTAGGTTACCCTAAGCTGCTCTAGGTTACTCTAAGCTGCTCTAGGTTACTCTAAGCTGCTCTAGGTTACCCTAAGCTGCTCTAGGTTACTCTAAGCTGCTCTAGGTTACTCTAAGCTGCTCTAGGTTACTCTAAGTTGCTCTAAGTTACTCTGAGTTGCTCTAAGTTACTCTAAGTTACTCTAAGCTGCTCTAGGTTACTCTAAGCTGCTCTAGGTTACTCTAAGTTGCTCTAAGTTACTCTGAGTTGATGTCTCGGTTGGCGGATCGTTTAGTGAAAAGGATTGGTAATAAACTTTAGTTGATTCTCACGTAATGACACTTTAGAATTGTTGTTGAAAGTAATTCAGAAATTTGCATGTTTCAATCGAGATCAAAAACTGTAAAAAAATCAACTAGAAGTCACATTTATATCGCTTTAAAATCAAGCTTTCAAGCTTGATTAAAGCTTTCAATCAAGCTTTCAATTGAATAATGTTTATTTGTTCTTATTTAAACATCAATGATCGGGGTTTATTGTTTAAATTTATTTAATTTTTAAGGAATTAAATGTTATCGTTAAAGTAAGTTATATTTTTTTTAAAAAACGATATTTAAAAGTGAATTCTTGAAGATAATTTAAAGATTGATAAGAATTTTAGCACTCTTTTTTCGCACTAAATTAAGTTTACGCACGAATTTAGGCTTTAAATCTTTACTAGGGAACTGCTTCAATGCTTCAACCACCGATTTTCGAAACCGAATCTACCGTAAATACTGTAATAGTACCCCATCCCCATAATGACGGTGCGGAGTGTTGCGTAGTCTAGCTTTGAACGAGTGTTTCTCGACACTGGTTTATGCTACAATGCGCGCTTAGGTATCAAAAAATAGCCCTGAATTTCAGCTATTTTTTCATACCAAAGACGCATTTTTTGAAAATACGGATGCAAAATGAAATACTAAAAAAATTTTGCGACTTTCGATGTTCGTTTAAGAATTATTTCAATCAATTTTTGCACAAAGCTCTCCTTGCTTTACTCTATACTGCACAAAGCTCTCCTTCCTTTA